AATCTCCAGGAATTTCCCAACCTGGAGCTGGCAACCCTAAACCCCCTGCCCCCCACCAGTTGCTGGGAGGGACCTGGCAGCTGTACCATTTTTGTTGCTCCTTGTGCACAGAATGCTCTACATGGAGAAGCCAAAACAGGAAAATAACTCCCACCCACTGTTGTTTCAGGATAGGATAGGAAAATGGCTTGGGAGGAAAACAGAAGCCCTTCCACCTCCCAGAGTAATGTACCAAGCTCATTTGGCTTCTCCTTTATTTTTAAAACTGCCTTGTCAGAACATCAAGAAAGCACCAGGTAGAGTCCAAAAGCTGCATCTCTGTCCCAAATCATGGCTGGCCGATTTGTAAATCTTGGTTGGCTGGTGATTTGGGGAGGGAGTATTGACTACAAGGGTGGTTAGGGTGGAGGTCCATTGCTTGGTTTGGAGTATTGTGGGTTTGGTTGCTCTTTTTTTTAGTGCACTATAAATCTGCTGCACAGTTGGTTAGATCCTCCCACAGGTGGACAGGAAAACCAGAGTCAACTGCAATATGTGCCTAGGTAGCCAGGAAATCCTTGTAAAATGAGGATGTAGGAGGTATGGTGGTGGGCTGAGAGTTAGGTTTAGAAGGAGACTGAGATATGAATATGCTCAGTACTCTTCTAATCTCTGTCCTATCCCAAGGAATGATGATGTGCAGTCCCAGTCTTCTTTGCATCGCCCACGTTGGGGGCGGGGCACCATGACTCGAGGGAAAACCATAGAGTTTTCCCTTGATTCACAGAGTATCCCCCCCACAACGTGGCCAGCGTGATGATGTCACCTCCGGGTGACATCATCACGCTGGGGACGCCCTCTGGCAGGGGGTGGAGTTCCCCCCGGGGCCCGATCCGCCAGCGGCGGGTAACGGGCCTCCCGGGCAGGAATTTGCCCACCCCCAGCGAGGGCTTGGCAAGCCTAATTGACCCCCACACGGAGAGCAGGCCACATGCTGGATTTGGTCTTTTGTGCAGGAATTGATCTTGATTCAGCAGTTCTTTGCAAACCGATGCCATGGATTTATGAAGGTAGGTTTGAGATTTAACTCCTTTATCTACAGGGGTTGTGAGATTTTTTATGCTTGCTCTTGGAGACTCATGGATCCAATTGGATTCCAGAACGCTCTGTGGGCTCTGCTGGCAAGTCTCTTGATGAACTCACTAATGCTTGGAATCTGGGCCTTCAGGAGGCCATTGAACGAGTTGCCTTCCGACATCCTCTTCGCCCCCTTACTACCTTGGCTCCCTGGTATACAGATGAACTAAGGACAGTAAAAAGGGGCCCTAGACAGCTAGAGTGGTGCTGATTATAAACATTGTGATGAAGCAAAAAGAGCACTTTATAGAGCCCGCTTGAAAGCTTATGGAGTGATAGTGAAGCAGGCCCATAGCCAGGAAATTTTTAGTGGGGGGGCATATTGGGGGCATGTTGCTGCCTATGTCACATGCCTATGTCACTGGCAGTGTCGGCCAGCTTGGGGCCAGCACTTAAAGAGACTGGAAGGAGAGGTATGTCTATTTCAATACCTTCCTGGGCTGGCACAGCCATGGCAGTGAGGACACGGCAGGCAGGGGAGTGGGGGAGGGAAGGGGGTCTGGCATTTTTCTGGGGAGGGCTGGGGGTCATCCATGGTAGGTACCCTCCCTGAAAGCCCCCTGAGGCTATGGGCCTGCAGTGAAGGAAACAAAGTGCTCTTACTTTTCTGCCTCCATTGCATCTGCCATGTTGCGTCCAGCTCAATTGTTTAGTTATTAGGCAACTGACCACCTCTTTGGTGGCTCCAAAAGTTGATGAAAATTTGGCTATTAGCTGTGACACATTTGCAACATTTTTTTCAGATAAAATCTTGTTCCTTCACCAAGACCATTTGGTCCTGGTCAACTGCCTAGCCTCCCTGGTATACAGGGGTACGGTCTTGAGGTGATTCTCCTCATTCCTCCAGGGTTGGTCCCAGAGGGTAATCATAGGTGGAGAGAGGTCGTTGCCCCGGGCCCTAACCTGTAGATTTCTACAGGGGTCAATTCTCTCCCCAGTGTAATTCAACCTCTATATACGCCCTCTGGTGGAGACTGTAAGGAGTTTTGGAGTGGGGTGCTATCAATATGCAGAAAACATCCAGCTCTACCTCTTATTTAAGGAGCAAGCAGTAGCCAGAATTCCAGTCTTGGCCTCCTGCCTGGATGCAGTGGTGGGATGACTAGGTAAGAGCTGGTTGAAGCTAAATCCATTTAAGACAGAGATTATGTGGCTGGGGAAGCCCAAACCACTGGGGTGGCCACTTCTACCAACCCTTCATGGGGTCCATCTTTCTACAGTCAACTCAGTCAGAAATTTGGGAGTATGCCTTGATTCTTTGCTCTCTATGGACAAATGTGTCCTTGCTGATAAAGACTGCATTTTACCATCTGTGCTGGGCCTGCCAACTGGCTCCCTAGCTGTCTCAGGAGGACCTTGCCACGGTAACTCACTGAACAGTCACCTGAAGACTGGACTACTGTAATACACTCTATGCTGGGCTACCTTTGAAGACGCTTCAAACACTACAAGTGGTCCAGAACACAGCTGCCAGATTGCTGACAGAACTGTCCTGGTCAGCTGCACTGGCTCCCAATTAGTTTCTGGTGCCAATTCAAAGTGTTGGTACTTATATTTAAAGCTGTAAATGGCCTGGAACACTCATACCTTCAGGACAGCCTCTCCCAGCATGACCCTCCCTGTCTTATCCAACCTTCATCTCAGAATTTATTGAAGGTCCCTGGTCCATGAACTGCCCACCTCATGTCAACAAGAGTGAGTGCTTTCTTAGTAGTGGCCCCTGCCCTGTGGAACCAGCTGCCCGAAGAGGTGCGTGCCTTGCAGGACCTCCCTAGGTTCCACAGGGCATACAAGGCTTTTCTTTTTTAGGTGGCCTTTGGGTGATTGTGATCCACCAGGCAGCTGGTATACTTCAGCTGTATTTTTACCATCCATGCATTCTACCCTGCTTGATAGTAGACAGATTTTAATGGGGATTGATTTTTAACTGTTTTATATTTTATGAATTATTTATTGTATCTTTGCATTGTTTTTATTGGTGTATTTAAAATGCTGTTAGCCACCCCGAGTCCTGTCCAGGGGAAAGGGAGTGGGATATAAATCTGATAAATATATAAATAAATAAAATTAAAGAGCTGTTCCTCACAGTTGTTGTATGGCCATGGGGAACCCAAGCTGGTTCCTTAAAAAGATGAATGTGTAGTCTGGCTCTCAGTTTTAGGGGAAGCAGTACAAGGACCTACTGGAGAGGCACAGATTTTCTACATGGATACTTGTTGGCTGCTGAGCCGTCTGATGCAGCAAGAAGAATTCTATTCCATATCTCCATTGAATGAAATAAAGGTCATAGTAAAAAACAACAACTCCCCTCCCAGAATTTCACTAAATATCCCTAAGGTGGTTGTGTGTCCACTTCTATTGGTCATTTCTTGGTAACTGGTTGTCTATATTCTGCTGCTCCTGTAACAAGAGGAAAGCCCTTTGCTGTATCTTCTTGTCTCCTGACACTTCTTTCATCTTCTAAAAGCGAAAAGATATTATGCATATGCTGGAGTTTAAGCAGGACTTCAGACCTGAATGTGTATGTTTGTCCAGTATTAACACACATAAGACCTTAGAGGTTTTCCAGGAACAATATTGTTATGTGAATGTGTGTGTGTGTTCATAGAAAGCACTCTCCTTCAACGTCCTTACAAAATTTGGCTATTTAGGCCCAGGTCTGTGAATAGTTTCTCTTATAAAGTGTTGGTACAATAAGACGTTCTTTTGTTAAAATGGTATGATGACAACAACAACAAAAATCACCTGTTGAAGGTAATGTTGCAGCTCAAAGTATCCAGTATAAATTATGATTCCCCCCCCCCCCCGGGGTTTTTTTTTTTTTTTTTTGTTAAAATAAAAAATGGGGCTTT